GAACAAAATCAAGAAAAAAACACCAAAACACAAAAAACCCTAACCAAACAAAAAATAACCAAAGTTGGTTTTGTTTTTTTTTTTTTTTAGTCAATAAATCTCTTTCCCTGATAGATGTTTTTCCACACTTCTTTCTATAGCTTCATTCAGGAGAATGCAGTAGTGGCTACAAGACATTATGGGAACCTCCTCCTTTCCAGGTGTAGAGCTTTGAAGGCTGTGACATTGTGAATCTGTGGGATATCTGAACAACACTTTTTCCAAAACGCTGTCTAATGAATGCTAATCTTATTCTTCTGTTCCTACGTGACTTTTGTCACGTAGAGAAATGCCAAATTTTTTAAGCCAATTACCTCAGGAGGAAATAAAACATCCACAAGGGCATAAGGAATGTGATGGAAAACTGATGAGTCACATGGTCCCTTACCTAGGGTTTTCATGTGCAAAGAGCTTGAATATTTAGAAACCCTTATTATGGTACAGTCTGCACTCTAATGATGGAGGATTTTAATCAGCAAGGACAATATTCTGGCTCCTGTGCCATGGAGTGATAAATTGAAATTGTGGCAAATTGGGAGAGATTACGAGTAAACTCAGACTACTTGTAGGGAAAAAACGTTGAATAAATTGTTGCAAGTATGAGAACAAGTGAGACAATTTCACTCTTCCTTTTCCTTGCTCTGAAAGAGCATCTATTCTTTCTGCATCCTAGAGGATGTAGCAGTATCTCAAATAGCACTTATTGCTGCAGTAGGACACAATGACCATGACACAGCAGCTAGTCAGCAGGATTTGCCCTGCAGAGTGCCACCTTGTTCTGTCAGGTCAGAATGCTTGTAAGTACTGCATTAAAGTGCTCTTATACTGGACATTTGTTTAAACAATTGTGGTCTCCTGGAGTGTAGCATAGGAAAACATTTTGTCCATCTTCTTACTCCATGTTTTTTTATTATGTGTTTAATTTGTTTGTATCCCATGTTCAAATTGAAAGACATAGCGCTGTAAGGTTTTTTTTTTTCCTTTTTCCTTTTCCTCTCTGAGGTTCAGATAATTTGCTTAGGGGTTTTGGTGCAGTCTGGAATGCAGACTCTCAGCTGATAAATAAGCTTTATTACTCTACTATGTCAGCTGTCACCAGAAAAAGAAACTAAGCACAAAGGTTTTTTTTAGCTGCTGTAGGTTCTACCGGCCTTGAGACTGCTGACCTGCGTGATGCAATGATTACTGTGTCTTGGTATGTGTAGAAAGCAGGAGATTGTATCATTAGGGATATTCTCACACCAGTGGCCAGCAAAAGCTGTTGCACAACATGGAGAACTAGAACTGCAGTAAATGGGAATGATATCTCCATGGAAAATTAACATGCTTCCCTGGAAAGAAAGCAGATAATAGAGGCAATTTAAATTTGTATTTTATGCAAGAGAGATGGTGAAAGAACTCTCATTGAGGATTCCATTAATAAATACTGGGGCTGAAATTCTTTTTTCAGTTAACCTTAGAAGTCTGTTGCATTGGCCTTCAACATCTGAACTTCAGCAGGCATCAGCACCAGACACTGGAGTAGGGATTCAGGGTAATATCCTGATTTGGTTCATTGTGGCACAATGTAGAGTCATACCATCTAAGTAAGGCTGCTCCCTACTGGGATGTGAAGATCTGTGGTCTGTAGTATTTGGTGT